AAATTCAGATGCAGTAAGAAAGAATTAATTTGTACCTGAAAACGGTTAGTTCATACTGTGAATGTCAGGTTCGATTCAAACTGAAACGAAAACTAGTTACCTTACTCCGCTTAGAGCTAAAGAAAATCGTTAAATTATTCATGGCAAGACAGTAGGACTAGCATCTTATCTATCAACATGTTTTCCACTTTTTCTTGTGCACTAAATATTCTTCCAATGTGTTAAAAAAATTGTTGACTGGAAAGTTTGTTTCAATTGGTTCTCTGCTTTTTGGAAAGCTAAGCGTTCAGCTTTGTACGTTTCTTCAGGCATGTCGGATAACCGGCACTTGTTGGGACCGACGACGTCGTTTTCGTGTGCCCGAAGCCATGAACTGGGTGTCACTGGTGAGGTTCAGCACACTTGCTGCTTCAGCGAACAGATCGGCTCGTTGTGTGTCAATGAAGACTATAGCGACGTCCGTCTCATTCTCAACGGTACTTCTTTGCCGGCGCATCGCGTCATTCTCGCCGCCAGAAGTGAGTACTTTCGGTAAGCAGGACTACGGTTTGCAAAATATAGTTGTTGGTAGGTCAGTGAAGTTTGAGGCAAGACAAAATTTGTTGCGACTTCATGAATGAACTGCTGCAAAGCATGCAATAAAAACAAAATTGAGCATTGTCGAATGGAGTAATATATATTGGTAAGCGGGATGGTTGCGAGCAAGAAAGCTCGAGCTATTCATGTCGCCTAGAAAGTACTTGCATAAAACTGAATAATGGCTTTTAGGGCGTTTATTAAGAGACGAATGAAGTCCGGAAAGCCATACCAGAAAGTTCAGTTGCAGAAACCTGACATTTATAAAGCACTGATCCAGCAGGTTTTACAGAAATAATGTCAGGGAGTATGGCAGTTGACTTTTGAAGCTGTTCAGTATTTGAGATTAGAATTTTTGCAGCTCGTTAACGATGGGACCGAAGGATGCACTGCTGCAGATTCCTTAAGATCTACATAAAGCGTCATAGGTCCCATAGGAAATGCTGAAAGTAGAAGTCATTTTCCTTTTGTTTATGGAGGTATCTGGGCTGCAACGATTTGTCTTTTTAGCAGGCCGTTGAGCTGTCGAAGATTGTTTCTTGCGTTTGACACTTCTTAAGAGGACACTTTTCAGGGCTCTGCTGTTTGGAGGCATGCGAGAAACCAACCAGATGGAAATTCAGCTGAACGATACCAGCTTAC